CTCCAGCCATTTCTCAGTCTCCATATTTGTTTCCTGTCTGAGCATCATCAATCCCATCAACCTGCCTAAATTACCTCCACCGATCTTCCTTTTTAAGCACCTTCCCTTCCATCAACCATGGCGTGAACTTTTGTCCTGCATGCTATCAGCAGACCGTCAGGGCGGTGGGCTCCCAACCAAAACATCAAACCCTTTCCAGGGGTCCCCTTCTTCTTCTTCATGGAAAACTGCCTAGGAGCCCCAAATGGGGACCCGAGAGGCGTCGGCCTGGAAGAGATTGGCAACGCTTTGCTTTGCCACCCACGAAGAAGGCCACCAAGTACATAGGGGCCTCTTAGCCTTTGTGCTGAGGCTGGGATCCAGGTGCTACAGGGAGAGCAAGGGCTGCAGGCAAGATGACCCCAGCAGTGCACTCCTTCTAGCCTTATCCCACCTGCACTTGTGCTGGGAGATCCTGAACCCACAACCCCACAATTGCCCCCCCACCCCCCACTTCCATCCTTGCTTTGTTTAACTACTTCAATCTGAGACTCCTCTTCTGGGCTCAGTGAGTAAGATCTGGCTTTGGGGAGAAGGCTGCAGCAGATCTCAGGAGAGGAGGAGACCACCCCCAGAAAGGGCTCCCTAACAGTTACTGGGAGGAAAATTAACTTTGAAGTGTTTGAGCTTCTATCTAAGTGACCTTTAACAAACCCCTAAGCCTACTTCATCTGTTTATAAAATGGAGATAATAGGATCCTCTCCAGAGGGCTTTGAGCAAATCAGGCTCGAATCAGGCTTGATGTAGGTAAAGCCAGTTTGCGGGTATTGAACAAATGTTTGGCCTTTTTCCATGCCTCCTCCCTGGCTGGCCCTGTGCCATAATAAAGCCCCGAGGCTGGTGCTGGCCCATTTCTCACTAATGAGCAGCTGCCTAACTGCCCATCTTTAGGGAACTAGCTACTTGTTAACAAGCCAAGCTTATGTTCACAAGCACAACCTTTCACTGAAATGGCATCTGGATTACAAGACTGTTCCCCCTTCCAGTTGAACGGGTCATCTACCACTCAAACATGATTGGAACGGAAAGAGTATGAGGCTTGAAGCCAGACAGGGCTAGCAACCCAGCTGTGTGATGCTGGGGAAAGTTGTTTACTTCCTAGTCCTAAATTTCTTTGTCTGCAAAATGGGGAAGATAACGGTACGTATCTCATTGGTGGCGAAGGCTTGGCTACTGATCAAAAGGTTGGCAGTTCGAATCCACTCAGAGGTGCCTTGGGAGAAAGGCCTGCTGTTCTATTTGCAAAAAATCAGCCACTGAAAACCCTATGGAGCACAGTTGTACTCTGAAACACCTACTCTGAAACACTTGGGGTTATCCTGAGTTGGAACTGTTTTTTGTTTGTAAACCTCATTGGATAATGTGAGAATATGCATAAATCACTTTGTAGCGCCTGACAAAAAGGAGCTCAATACTTGGTAGCTCTAAGTCCATCACAGGCAAGCATATCTCCCTAACAGCTAAAACACAGACTCAGAGGGAAGGTGCCTCCGTCCCTATAAAATGTAGACGTGGCCTAATAACTGTACCGCTTAGATTAATGGAACACTTCCCACATGGCATGCACTGTGCTAAGTGCTTTACATGTGGCATCTCACTGAATCCTCACAAGAACCCAGGGAAATAAGAACTATTATTACCCTCATTTTACAAATGAGAGAACAAAGGTACGGGGAGGTTAAGCAGTTTACCCAAGGTCTCACAGCTAGTAGTGGGGGCTGTATGACTTAACTGCACTCCACTGCAGCTCTCTAAAGTCTTCCAGCATTGGACCCCTAAAATTCTCACCGACTTGCCTAGGTAGCGGCAGGACAGGTATTAAAACTCTCAGCTTCATCTACCCCTCATCACTCAATGCTGTTTTCACCACTCTGCTACTTTCCTACAGAAAACCTCAAGCAAGACAGTGGCTTTTAATTCCCTCTCCACAGAGGGCCTCTCCTGTGCCCTGACTCCACCACAGCCCCCCCTGCCCCAGGGTCCCCAGAGGCTAAACCCCTGAGGCTCTGTGGTCCCCAAGCTCCAGGTACTAGGAGGAGTTCCATGCCTGCACACTGACCACCTTTTGGGGCTGCCAGAAGTCACCGACAGAATCCAGGAAACTCGACTTCCAGGGGAGCCTGTTTGAGCTGTGTACCCACAGCACTCAGGGAGACCTGGAGATTCCCACTTTACCCCCTGGTGCCTGCTGCCTACTGTCCTGGCCTTCATTTGGCTTTGACCCAGACAGAGGTGCCTAGAGCCAGGGGTTAAAGATGACCTCTGAGCCAGACATCCCTTCCTCCTTTCCTCCTTTGGAGTTATAAGCGATTCTGAGCACCAGCTATGCAAACTAGCCTCCCCATGTCTCCCCAAGTGGCCCAAGTTCAGGTGGTGGGTAGAAAGAAGGGAGGTGCAGACTTTGGACCCCTAGAAAGTTAGAGGATATGCCAACTCAGCAGTTTACTAGATGTAGCTTCCTGACCTAGGTACCATCCTTTACCCTTTAGAAATAAAAACATTTCCTACATTCCTACCTTCACTTGGAAACCTGCGGCCATATTTAATGAAATGCTTTATCCACTTTTTTCAAAAGCAATAACGTGTATAAATCACCATGTGGCCTCGGTATTTTTTTTTTTTTAATACCCTGGGTATTGCAAATGGTTAAGCACATGAGCCTACGAGCTGAAAGGTTGGTGGTTTGAACCCACCCAGAAGGCACTCAGCAGACAGATCAGGCAACTTGCTTCCAAAAGATCAGTCCTGAAAACCCTATGGAGCAGTTCTATTCCGACATGCACGGGGTCGCCATGAGTTGGAATCGACTTGATTGCAAGTAACAACACAGTAAGGTGAGAAAGTACTATTATAAATGGTGATACAAGATTCTTTAACCAATCAGATCTTATACATTCCTAAATACTGACCTCTTCAGGATGAACTTACAATGTCACTTAAAAAAAAAAAAAACAACCCATTGCCATTGTTTCTGACTCACAGCAATCCTACAGGACAGAGTAGAACTGCCCCATTGGGTTTCCAAGGAGCGGCTGGTGGACTCCAACTGCCGACCTTTTGCTTAGCAGCCAAATGCTTAACCATTGGGCCACCAGAGCTCTTATAATGTCACTACTGGAGCCCAAATCCTGACTGCAAGCTCCTAACATGTAACCCTGGGAAAGTTCCTTAGTTGCCTCATTTGTAAGATACAGACGATGGTATTTCCTACTTCAGAGGGTTGTTGTGAGGATTCAATGAGAAAGGAGATGTAGAGCACTTAGGCTAGTGCTAGACGCCTATTAAGCCTGAATAGATGTTAATATTAAAATGGCAAACATGTATATGTCACTGTCACTGCCCAATCCTCTCTGGAACTCCCCTTTAGAAACTGCTTTGTTACAAATCATAAAAATCTCATTAATGTCACATAATTTTGACCCCTAAGTGTTAGCTCAGTCACTATATTACTAAAAAAGAAAAAAAAAAAAGTGCCCCCCTGACTTTGAGCAGGTTCCAAAAATCAAATTAACACTCAAGGGACAGAGATTTGTCATCAAAAAAGATATGCAAAACAACAGGCAGCAGCCCTTCAACTTAACTCACAGAGATGAGGAAAGAAACTAGAAAACAGCCACTACAGCGGATCAAGGGACACAGCATCTACCTGTGAGTGTGCTGCTGCCTTTAGAGTTTGTGGTGTCTGGGGGAAATCCCCTGACCCAGGGGACATCAACCCAGCTGTTCTTCTTGGGCCCTGCAGCCACGACTGGGGTCCCATTAATAAGCTGCTTCCTCCCAGACAGAACACTCTGAATGACTGAGGTGCCTCACCCTAGCACGAGGCATGTTCACGCAAACCTTTGTCGGTCGGCCTCAACTCCCTACTCTGCAGTGCTGAGAGCCAAGAGGCTAGAAAAAGCTTCTGGGAGAGGCAGCAAAACTCCTCATCTGGGCAGCCATCACACTGAAGGCTGAAAAAGGACAGCTCTCTTGGACAGGCTCCAGAGGAATGAAAGAGGTACTCTGATGGTTTCAATGCAGAAGTGAGTCTAGACCAGTGCACTACACTGGAACATGTTCAGAAATTACCTGCTATCATAAAAAGACCAGACTTAATGATCTGAGACTGGAGGAAACCCTGAAGCCATGGCCCCCAGAGCTGTGTTAACTCAGAACTAAAACCATTCCTGAAGACCACTCTTCAGACAAAGATCAGACTGGACTATAAAACATAAAATAATACTCATGTAAGAGTGTGCTCCTTAGACCAAGCAGATACATGAGACCAAACGGGCAGCTAATGTCCAGAGGCAGGATGAGAAGGCAGGAAGGGACACGAGCTGGTTTGATGGACGCAGGAAACCCGGAGAGGAAAGGAGAAGTGTGCTGTCACGCTGCAAGGATTGCAACTAGTGTCACATGACAATATGTATATAAAATTTTGTATGAGAAAAAAAAAAATCACGGGCAAGTGCAAAAGGAACCCCAAGGGGTCATGGCGGTCCACCAGAGGGGCAGTATAGGAGACCGCAGGTGGAGGGGGTGAGACACAGGAGTCCCTCCTGCACTTAGGGAGGAATAACTCTGTGGTTCAGGAAAGGCGAAGGTGGCCTACTAACTCTTTACAGCTCCCTTGCCTGGCTTGGCTGATCTCTCACAGTCCCAAATGTGGCATTACAAAGTGAGTACAAGAAGACCGTGGAAAATACTGTATTTATGTACATCAGATAGACAGTTGCAAACCCCTCACAGAGGAAACGCCACCCCACAGAAAAATCTTAGCAGCAAATTTCTGTCTCCCTCAGCACTATCAGCGTGGCCCGAGCTGGAAGGTTGGACTTCTTGTCTCTGGGCACCCCTCAGACCCCTTCCACTGGAAAAAGGAACTGCTGCCAGAACTGGGGTCCAGTGGGAGCTGGGATGCCTGGGAACAAGCAGTGATTCTATTACGAGGGTTAACCTGGGAGCAATGCTGGGATTCTTCTCTGGGTCCTGAGAGCTGGCACCAGGATGGGGACTCAGTAGAGGGAACTAAAGAAAGTCAGTCATGGGTTCGTGGGTGCGCGCCCATGTGTGTGGCGGGGCACAGGTTGTGCATTTTTCTTGTGCTTGATGCGTCCATCTACTGTTCTCTCCCTGACAGCAGCCTACTACTTTGCATCTACATCTCCTTCTGTGGCTGTGGATCCAGAAAGCAAGTGTTTCTCCAAACAGAATAGCTGTGGTTCAGCAACATGGCAAAGGTACTAGCTGTCCCAGGGAGGTAAGACAGATGACTAGGAGAGTGATTTGCTCCAATCAGATATCCTTGATTTTTTTCTTTTTGGAAACAACAGGCTGGTGACAGGTATGGTGGCTCAAAAGTGACATGGTTCCAATTCTGTTATTACCCTCAAAGAGTTCCCCTTCCTGGCCTCTCAGACACCAAAGCTTCAGGAGACAGAGGCCATTTTTGCAGTTGTGATCTTGAACGCTACCTGCCTTCTTCAAGGGGCCTCACTACCTCTCCCACACCAACAGAGACTTCACATTTTCAGGGTTCCTCTCAGACCCGGGCTGGACCTCATCTGGAAGGCCTGAGTAACCCAAAGTGTTCGGGGGAACAAGTGCCCAGCAGGGAGTCCAAAGGGCCCAATCCTAGACATTAGATTTAGGGGCTGAGTTGAGGGGGATCTCCTTGAGCTCCGTCCGCATGCACAGGTACTCCCCGATGACAGCCATGAGTGCAATGCACACGGCTTGGACCAGCCACCAGGTCAGCGCCGAGGGGAAACGGGAGCTGTAGAACCAGCAGCCCAGGAGGTGAAAGAAATGGACAGTGACAGTGAAATCCAGGCACTGCTTCCCTCGCCGAATGAAGTACAGCAAGCCCAGGGCACTGTGGGGAGAGGACAGCAGCGAGTTGTCACTGGGTTGTCCTGGCCTACGATTAGGTTATTTGGGGGATAGGAACAATTATGATGACAGCATAGTGATCAGAAGCTAGTGAGATAAGTGTGAAACGAGGGTTACAATGCCAGATGCCTAGAGAACCTGGCAGATAATGTCAAGAGTGGATCAGACTGGGTAGAAGTAAAAAGTACAAGCTTGATGATAAACAGCAACTGTCACTCACAAGCTCCTAGGGACTGGTGGAGATTGTGGCACCCTGAACTATACATGTTCTATCTAAAGTGGGGGATAGCAGCTACTTGCCTCTAGGCAAATATTATCATGCTGGAAGGCTGGCCTGGAATCAATAGATCTTCCCATTTTTCAAGAGAATCCAGAGACGTATATTTTTATATGAATTATCCTGATTTTCAACTGAGTGAAAAAATGTTTTAAACAACACGTGTGGGCTGACATCTCTGTAAGCCGAACAGAACATATCTGGGAGCCAAATTTAGGTCAAAGTCAGAGCACCAGTTTTCAAACCCTAGTATAACCACAAGAATAGTAATAATGTGCAAGGCATTGCTTTAAATACCTCTTGTGAATTAACTTATTTAATCCTTACAACTATGAGGTGGGTAAAATAGCCCCCATTTTACTGATGAGGAAACTAGGACTTAGACAGATTAAGTAACTCATCCAAAGTCACTAGACTAGTGATAAGGCTGGGATTTAAAGCCAAGTGAGTTTGCGTCCAGAGCCTGAGATCTTAATCACCATGTTAAACTGCCTCTCAAGAGTCAGGCAATGGTCATGAGTGACTGAGAGTGACCATCAACACCCCCCTCCCTAGTGTAGATGAGGAGCCTGAGGCCCAGAGAGGAGGGAAGTAAACTGGCCAATGACACACAGATCAAGAATAGAACCCAGTTCTCCTGACTCCCAGTCCAATCCTTTCCTCATCTCACTGCACATCAGGAAAGTGATCTGAGATAGAAACCGTCCCACTGGCAGCACGCACATAGTAACATAAGACCTTTCCAACTAAGTCAAAACAGCTATGGAGGGAGCCCAGTGATGAAGCCAGCCCTAGAATTGGCCTCTGCCACCCACTATAGTCCACCACTCCCCAGGAACAAGTGTCCAAGCTATCTCATTTCCGAATTTAGGAAGTGAGTCCCAGTGCTAAGATCCCAAAAGCCAAACAGCAAAACTGATGACACTCACCAGGTGAGGGCGTTGAGGATGAAGGACATCATGGAGAGCCGGCCTGGAGGGGTAGAGAAGCCCAGGATCTGAGGGAGAATCACAAATGGAAATATGCTCGAGAAGTGACTTGGCAGAGTCCCCAGCTGCAGGATCCCAGCAGGCCTCCTAAGGAACGAGCACTCTTCCCAGAGCACAGAACACAATACCCCTTCATCTGTATGGCAGCTTATTGTTAGCTTTCACAGACATCATTATGGTATCTCATTTGACCCTCACAGGAAGGGGGAAGACACTATCATCATCTTATAGAGGAAGAAATAAAAGCACAGAGAAGTGAAGTAACTTACTCAAAGTGATATGTAAGTAGGCAGCAAGAGTAAGGTCTAGAACAAGGTTCAGCCAACTATGGCCCTGCAGGCCAGGAACATGATTTGTGAACAAACTTTTACTAAAACACCCACATCTATTTGTTTATATATTGTCTATGGCTACTTTCGTGCTACAACGGGAGAGCTGAGTAGTTACCACCTAAAATCTTTACTACTTCATTCTTCAAGAAAAGGTGTGCTGACTCCTACGATTCAGGCTGCAAGCATCAGATGGTTCTTAACAAAGCCAGGGACTCCCATATGCCCTTCCCAGGAGGAAAGAGACTCCTAAAAGGCTGGCACCTGGCACCTGGTAAGTGTGTAACCTCATACCACCCTTGACACAATACTATAGAATGCCAAACATCTCCACATTTTCAGCTTACAAAGTCTTCTGACATTTATTATCTCATATTATCTTCACAGTAACCTCCCAAAGTCGTTATTATTATCATCTCTCTCTGGATGATAATTCACCCAAAGGCTACACAAAGAATAAACAGCAGGAGCAAAGACCCCATCCCAGATCTCCTGACTCCAAGAACCATGCTCATTAACATACACCACAGCTGCCTCTCAGATGCAACAACTTCTTAGATCTCCATTTCACTTTAAGGAGTAGTTTCTTTCATATTTCTAGATCCCCCTGAGCCTCATAACATCTTGCTGAGGGTGGCAAGGTAGGATTATTCTGCTCGGTTTCCAGAAGATCTCACAAGCTACTATGTCCCACAGCTAGTATGTTTGGGAATCGATTGTACCCTCTGCCTTTCAAAATCGAAAGTGCAGGCTGTTTATATTGCAGCCAACAACCTCTCTGCTTCTGGTCTCGTGATCTTGCAGATGGAAAAACTGGGGTTGAGAGAGGTGACAGCACTTGCCCCAGGTCACACAGACAGTAAGTTAAACTGACTCTAAAGTCCAGGTTGTTTCCACTGTACCCCCATGAATGCTCTTGTATCTACCCCTGTCCTCTAGCAGTACAATGGTTAAAGCATTCAGCTGCTAACCAGGAGAGCTGCTCTGCAGGAACCCTAGGGGGCAGTTCTACTCTGTTCTATGGAGTTGCTGTAAGTCGGTAATTGACTCGATGGTAACGGGTTCCCAACTTGGCACCCAAGAAGCTGAAGCTCAGAGATGTGAAGTCACTCTCCCAGAGTCTCAGAAAGAAGATGTATCAGAGATGTTTGAAATGCAAGCCTGTTTTATTATAACTTCCAGGTCCTTTTCTTTGTTCTAATCTGCCTGTTATCAATCAACCCACTTTATGGATGGGACAAATGAGGTTCAGAAAGGGAGAATCATTTTCCAAGGGGCATAAAGCGAGAAGGTGGCTCAGATGAGTCTAGAGCTCACTAGTGTCGGACAACAAAGCCCACTTGGTGAGGCCGAGATCCTGCTCGCGCCAGCCCGGGGACCTTACCTCGGCGTCGAACATCTGGTCCAGCGAAGGGCTGCTGCGCACCAGCCCGTCCACCAGCGCCAGCCACAGGCCCAAAGAGCCATAATAGACGGTCTGCATGAGGACTATCTGCGACAGGATTAGCAACGGGTCCCACACGTAGCTGCGGAACTGGCCTGCCATGCCGGCCCACGGAGCACGGCCGACGTCCGAGCTACCGTCAGAGCCGCGGCGCCATCGGCCCCGGGCCGCCCCAGCACCTGTGGGGACAAGCGCCAGGCCTCAGCTAGCCTGTCGTCACCATGGCAACACCACCCCGCCCGGGAGGAGGGACTGGGACGGACAGGGCAAGCCCATTCCGGAGAGAGGGCGGGGCGGACAGACCCATTCCCAGGGTGAGGAGAAAGCCAGCTCGTTCCAGCTGCTCGGCCCCCGCCCGTACTCAAGTTCCTCTGGAGTTCACTTACGACCGACGGACTCAAAGACTGACGCTTCCGAGCGCGGCTCGGCCTCACCGGTAGACCCCCGAAACAGCGCTGACAGGCAGGACCATGGAGAAGAGGCCCTACCGGCCTAGAGAGGCAAAGCTCCAGCGACGGCGGCGCCAGTAGCGGCTGCGTAGGAAGGAAGCGTTTCCGGGGACGGCTGTGGAGGCGAGGGGCTGAGATTGCGCAGGCGTAATGGGTGCAAGCCAGCTAAAGGAGGGTACTGGTAGCAGGGAAGCGAAGTACGCACATGCGCAGAATGAAGAGTGAAGGCGAACGGAAATGATACACGAAAGCGATAGAGCTTGCGTGCCCTCTAGAGGAGAAGTTTGAGTAAAGGAAGAGCGGCTAGGGGAGAGAGAAGGAGACCAGAGTCTAAGGTACAGTGTTTGGAGTTTAACGAAGTGATTAACGTTGACTATTTTCACCCTAGGTTCCCAATGTTTTCTTCTCCTAGTTAGATTCTGGGACAACTTGAATTTACAAGCTCTTTCACACATACGTGATTTTCCTACTGTTCCGCTTTTACAGACGATTAAACTAAGGCCCAGAGAAAGCAGCAAACTTATTTCAAAGACATAGAGTTAGTGGCAAAGTAAGGATTAGAATTCAGGTGTTTTCAACACCATAGTGGTGTTCTCAGCAATGATTTTGTGCTTACTGGCTGCCAGGAGGGTTAGGACATGTACAAATGGGACAGCCCCAGCCTTCAGACACTGTTCAGAATCTGGATGTATATTAGAAGGCAGAGTGGTAGAAAAAGCTCAGATTCTGAAGTCATATCTGGGCACACATCCTGACTCTGCCTATGTGTGGCCATGACTGTTTTATCTCTGCCTTCTCTTCTGAGTCCAGATCGTGTGGACAGTCAGTAAATATTTGCCGAATGAGTCAAGAATAGAGAAAGGGAAACAGCAAATTGATGAGTCACTTTCATTCCTGATCCAACGGACCAAAAGTGCTCAGCTTCATTGATCCCAGATTCCCCTTCTCTGGAGTGGAAAGAGAGAAAGTAACTGGTTCCACAAAAAGAGCCTGAGTTTAGAGCCTGCTCTATCACTTACTAGCTGTGTGACTGAGCAAGCCACTTCCTTCTTTAAACCTCAGCTTCCCTGTTTATGAAGTGAGAAGTTAGACAAGATTAACGGGTTTTCCAACATTGAATCCACCTCCACTAATTATTTTCCTATTAAAAAACAAAACAAAAACCAGAAACATGTAACTGCTGATCAGACTCCTGAACAGCATGTGGTAACTATGTTAGCACCTTGAGTTGATACAATTCCAGATAAAAGTGAAGAAACTTGAAACTGTATCAAGGGTATGTGATTTCCTTTATCATTTGGAAATACTGTAAACAGTTCACTCCTGCTCCACTTCCGGAGTCATTAGGGCCCAAAGATTTCTGAGGTGCTTTCCAGCTCTACCATTCTTTTAGCTGCCTCAGTTCAGGTCAGTAAACTGAATATATTCAAATCCCTCTGGTCCACTGACTGCTCAAGTGATACAGTGTTTCTGAGAAAACATCTACTGCTTATTAAGTCCCTTCATGATCTTGTATAGTCCTCACAATCCTAGACGGTAGATATTAACCCTTTTTTGTAGGTGTAAAGGTCCCTGAGTGGTACAAATTGTCTGCACTCGACTACTAACCTAAGAAGCCTTGGTGGTACAGTTAAGAGCTACGGCTGCTAACCAAAAGGTTGGCAGTCTGAATCCACCAGCCACTGCTTGGAAACCTTATGGGGTAGTTGTGCTCTGTCCTATTAGGTCGCCATGAGTCAGAATCGACTAACCTAAGGTTGGTGATTTGAACTCACCCAGTGGCACCGCGGAAAAAAGACCTGGTGATCTGCTTCCATAAAGATTACAGCCAAGAAAAGCTATTCTGACATACGTAGAGTCGCCTGGAGTCAGAATCCACTGCAACTTTTTTTTTTTTTTTTAAATAGGAGAGGCAGTGGAGTTTCAGAGAGGGGGCGTGATTCTGCCTAGGTCAGTATGCTCACAGGAAGCCAGCTGAGAGTCACACCCAGGAATCTGACTCCAAATACCAAGATGCCATAGCAGAAGAAAAAGAAAACAAAGGAAAGGGACAGTGAGACAGGTGGTGGCATAGTGGGAAGTGGAAAAGGAGCAGTGAATCCCTCCACCAGCGTAGCCCCAGGGGTGAAGTATTAAGACGAGGTGGGGAGGTGGGTGGAGAGGCTCAGGAAACAAGCTTGAGAAGTCAACTTAAATCCCGGAGCAGCTCTGTCTTCCGGCCAGGTGCTGGAATGGGAGGCTCTTCCTGGAGTCCGCCCCCTCACGTCATGGCGGGGGTGGGGGGGCCTCCTCCACCTGGTCTCCTCCCCAAAGGGAAGGCCCTCCCTGCTGTTCTCCTGAAATGGAAAACACAGGTAGCTTGGAACCTGCAGGGCGGCCTTAGGGTGGACTGGATAGCTGGTGTCTGATGTCATCCCTGGAGTCCAGAGCTATGCCTCTGGGAAAACCCCACTGGCCAGCAGGCCAGCCTCCTGCTGTTTCCGTTTCCCTTTAGGGTTTCAGCTCTTGAATTCCCATCTTGCTGAGCCCCGGAAATGGGCACCATCCTGTGTCTTAACTTGGGTCCAGTAAGGAAACCAAGAGTTGGGGAAAACTGTGACAACTCAGCCAGTCTTCCTTGATCGACTTGGGGATTTGACCTCAGACAGCCTGCAGAATGAGAATGTGAGTTCAGAGCACAGAGTCCGAGGTGGACCCCACTGGCTTGCTGTGGGACTTTGGGCAAGTCCCTGGCTGGGTCTCGTTGGTTGTTGTGTGCTGTCCAGTCGATTCCGACTCCTAGCGAACCTGTAAGACAGAGTAGAACTGCCCCATAGGGTATTCTAGGCTGTAAATCTTTACAGGAGCAGATTGCCAGGTCATTTCTTCTGCAAAGCTGCTGGGTGGGGTCGAATCGCAGACGTTTCATTTAGCAGTCCAGCACTTAACCATTGTGCCACCAGGGCTCCTCTGGCTGAGTCTTAGTATCCCTAATTATAAAATGAAAGAGGGACATTGAACTCCGACTTCCAAATGTAGTCGGTGGCATTGGACCATCTGAATCACCTGAGGAACATACTGCATACTCAGATTCCCAGGCCTTGTTGCAAGTCTTTTTCTGAATATCCAGAAGCAGAGTGCAGAAATCTGCATATTTATAGAGCTCCCTAAGTGATTCACATTTTGCAGCTACATAAGGAGGTGATCTGTAATTGACCCCAGACTGACTCTTCTAACAAAAAATTGCTGTCTGACCTTGCTGTGTCCATGGCTGTCTTTGGGCCCCAGGGATTTTTTCCATTTGTAATATGAGGGGGTTGGACTAGAATAGCTGGTCTCCAAGGGCCCTTCCCACGCTGCCAAGTATGTGGTTCCAAACTTATGAATGAAATTTTAAACTTTAGGTCAGAGGCAGAGTGAGGAACAGCCACAAGTCAGGACAAAGTGTCCTCTGGGTGGAGGGGAGGGCAGTGCCTTTGGTCACTTGCGTCACTCCTACACTGGGCCCCGCTGTGGGCATGTAAGGACAACCCTGCTGGGGTCACTTTCCAGATCCACCCCCATAAGTCCTTTGGGAAATGTCCTGTGGGGTTTGGGTGACCTTGGGCAAGTCACTTCATCTCTCTGAGTCTCGGGAGGTTTCCTTTTCTATAAAATGGGTATCAGAATAGTACCTGTGTCATGGGCTGTCCGGAGAATCAAATGTGTACTTACCCTACTGCCTGATATGCAATCAGTGCTATGTAAGTGTTGTGTGCCAGTAAGCAATATTAAGTATTGTTACTACGTCTTCCCTTAGACTGTGGGGTGATAATATCTGATCTCTCCGATTTATGGCAAGGATCTAACTAGACAGCAGACAGAGTGAGCTCAGCTGCGTGCCTGGCACATAGTAGGAGCTTGGTATGTGTGGTCCCATCCTTTTCTAATCCCATGCCCAAGTCCAAGGTCTCCTAGCTCCCTCCATTTTCCTCTTCTTCCTCCTCCAGGCAGCCCCACTACCCTGCTCACATGTTCCCTTTAGGGGAATGTTTGATGAAAACACTTTAGCAAGGCACATGTCTCAGGGGCAGGTTATGCAACTCTGTGCTAACACTTTTTGGAAACTCCCTGTGGGAGGCTAGCATTTGGCTGCCTGTCCTCCGTATTGGTGACCATCCTGGACTCTGGCCAGTGAGCTCCTCGCTTAGAAGGGAAACTGGATAGAGGGCCCATCAGCTACCTCTTTTCTCCTCGAGACTGAGAACACTTTGTCACCTATGGCTCTAAGGGTTATGTGTGTCTGTGTTTTGGGAAGAATGTTTACTGAACGTTTACTCTGTGCCAGACACTTACATTACCTCATTTAATTCTTATTTAATTTCTACAACAAGCCTATGAGTTGTTGCTTGCTGTGTGCCGTCAAGTTGATTCTAACTCATAGCAATGCTATAGGACAGAGTAGAGCTGCCCCATAGGGTTTCCTAGGCTGTAATCTTTACAGGAGCAGATTGCCAGGTCTTTTCTCCCATGGAGCTCCTGGTGGGTTCGAACTGCCAACCTCTTGGTTATCAGCCAAGTGCCACCAGGGCTCCTTCTATGAGTTATACATACTATTAATAGTATACACACTTAACAGATGAACCTGAGGCTCAGAGAAGGTACATGATTGACCCAAGGCCCACATAGCCAGTGAGTAATAGAGCTAGAACTCCAACACATGTCGGTCTGACTCTACATACTACCTCTTCCCAATGCACAGTAAAAAGTGCACTGGGCATTACAGTTTACACAGAGGTTTCACCTACATGACCTCATTTTCTCCTCCCAGTAGCCCTGTAAAATGGAGGAAATAGTAGTTACGACAGAACCTGTCTAACTTCAGGGGGGATAATGACCAGGATCAGCCCAAAACTGATTTCCATGAGGTGAAGATCAGACATACCTCCACCCTCCAACCTTTTTACCAGTTCTAACACTATCACTCCCACAGCACTCTCTACTTCTCTTCCAGGTTTGCTAATCCATTGCAATGGCCACACAGAACTCACAGACCATGCTTACAGTTAAGTGGTTTATTAAGTAAGTAATGGTGCAACTTGGGATCAGGATCAACAGGCTACAACTCAGAAACAGGAAACATGTAGGCAAAGCCTCCCTTCTTCAGTGCAGGACAGCTCTCTCAGCTCCTTTTGGCTGTGCAAGCCTCCTCTTGGCCCATGAGGACAGGCTCCTCTGGGTCCTGCCATCTGTTGCTGCTAGCTCTTTAGCTGGGCCCCTTCTGGGCCTGTCACCATCTTAAGTATTATAGCCCTTGACCTGTGTTACAGCTCTGTTAGGAGATTCCTTGCCTCCTCTCTTTCTCTGCTTCTTCCTTTCTACTTTTTCCTGTCTCAAAAACTTATGTGGAGTTGGCTGCTTATATATACTACAACTTGTCAATTTCAAGGCATGGCCTTCCTAGCGGGGGAGGGGGGCACAAATTGACCAATCCCCTCTCAGTAGGTCACAGACACTTCATTTGCTTAGTAGGCTATAGTTATCTTATTTGCATAGTCTATTGACCAATGCCTGCAAGATGGCTACCAATCACAGGGGCAGGCTGCAGCCCAGGATGGGACAAAAAGTATCAAACCAAGTTGTTTACAGCTTACCCAGGAAATGTCTATCAACATGGACAAAAGTAACAAACCCTTTGGGATAGAAAACTAGGGCAAAGGTAACTCCTCAGGCTTAGGAGAAAAAATCAAGCTGTTTTTCCAAAGAACCAAAGCAAAAGACCACATAAAGGAACTGATTTCACCACAATCCCCAAGAAGACAGGTACGGACATTTTCTCCATTTTACAGATGAGAAAACTGAGGCTCAGGGAAGGAAGTGACTCACACTCAGCTGGGGCATGGTGAGTCTTGTCAGCTGGAATAATCAAAGTTAAGAAACATCTGGAATTTTTGTCTTTTCACTGCCACCTCCCTGCTCTTTCCTTTACCCCAGAGTGGGGCAGGGAACTGGTTTTCTGTAGTCTGTGCCCAACGGCCAGTGGTTTTCTGCAGACCATCTTTCTGTGGAGGGTGATGATGCCATGTGCACCAGTCGGTGGCTGGCCTCTGAGCAGAGGGTGTCCTTTCTCTAGAATAAAAGCCTGTTTTTCAGGGTTGGTCACTCTGGCCTAAGACTCCCTGAAGAGGAAGGAGAGAGGTGAAGTTTTCTGAAATTGTTGCCTCACCCCCTACAGGTTTTCCTTCCTTGATTCCTAATTCCATCATGTACTACAACTTCTTCCTCTACCTGGAAATTATGCCTTACTCTTGAAGGACTCAGGCTTTATGTTAAGAAGAAAAACTGTTCCATCCCCTCCCCTTCACCTTCCTTTTCATCATCATTCAGTCACTCATTTATCTGTTTGATAAACATTCATTCATTATTTATTCTGAGTCATGAACTCATCTATACTGATACAAATGAATACAGTGAATAAAGACAAAAACTCCGACCTCACAGAGCTTACATTCTTGTAAAGGAGGCAAACAATAAACAAACCAGCAATGTAAAATTTAACTTTAAGTAGTGAGACACTGGCGCTGCGGTGGCCGTGGCGTGGTGGTGGTGGTTAAGAGCTTGGCTGCTAACCAAAGGTCGACAGTCTGAACCCACCAGCCACTCCTTGGAAATCCTATGGGGCAGCTCTACTCTGTCCTATAG